AAGCTATCCCCCTGGGTAGAGTGCCATGGCATCACGCTCACAGCAACCTCCAACTCCTGGGCTCAAGCGAGTCTCCTGCCTCAGCCTCCCAAGTAACTGGGACCACAGGCGCCCACCACAACGTCTGGCCATTTTTTGGTTGCAGCCATCATTGTTGTTTGGCGGGCCTGGGTTGGGGATACGAACCCGCCACCTTAGGTGTACGTGGCTGGCGCCTTAGCCGCTTGAGCCACAGGCGCCGAGCCCTGTTCCTGTGTCTTAATGAAGCATAACAACCTCTGTCCATAATTAGTGTTTTGACAGTTTTTTTTCAGTCAGTAATATTTTTAGTAGCTGTTACAAAAATTACAGTAGACTTCACATTATTGATTATGTCATATGCACCATATTTGAGTATTTTATTTTATGTAGTTTCTCCTCAACACTCTGTTAAATTTAATAAGTTCCTGTCTTCTTCCTCCCCATGGACTTCCCTTCCTCTGGTTCCTTTCTTCTGAAATAAATTAGATGATGCTCTTGCTTTGACAAATTAAACTCTAGCTATTACTGCTAAGGTGATAATTCTGAATGTAAATAATAGATGGACAATGCTGTTTAAATCTTCATAGGTAATTTGTTTTTATATCCTCAGTTTTTATCAAATAATTGTAGAAGTTTTAAGAAAGCTAACTCATAATCTATTCTGTTAGTGTTTCTTTAAAAAACTCTTAAGATAAATTTCTTTTAATATCAATCTCAGAGAATTCATTGCCTGCGTAGGAAAGTGTTATGCTTTAATTTTTATAATGAAATCTGCCCTTTTAAATTTTGTCAGATATACTCAACCCTTCTTATTTTGAAAATCTTTTTGTTAGTGTTTATTTCCACTTATTTGCTAAAGAAAAACTTGCTTTTAATTTTTCCTTATATTCTACAAAGCTCATGACTGTATTTACTGGTATTTTTCACTCTTTTAACATGTATAAGTCATATTTCAAAATCTTCATTTAGGTGTCTAATAGACATCTTAAAATTAAGATGGTCAAAATTGATGCTCTTCTTTTTTCCAGCTCCCATATCTGCTGTACATAGTTTTCCCCATCTGAGCTAAGGGCGTCTTCATCCTTCTTATACTTAGGCCAGAATTCTTGATTTCGTCTTTTATTCTTCCTTTTAATATCACACCCTACACTTGATTCATTGATGGATTTTATCACCTACTAGAGAAAATGTATTTTTATTATACCACCTTCATTGTTGCTCCTGGCATAAGTTATCATCTTGTACTGTATAATTACAATGGTGTATTTGCCATTATCTCCCTACTGAATGTCCTTGACATAGTTGCTAGTTAGTGATCACCCTCCAGTAGTTCTGCATTTCATTAAAAGCCAAAGTCATTTAAAATGACTATAGCCCATGACAGTGTTTTTTAGCCTTTTTTATCTCATAGTACACTTGCACCTCTAGTTAAACTTCTGTGGCACACTTAAATTACGTTGATTAAAAAAGTAAAAAAGGAATACTTACTGTACTTTGAACTTCTGTCAAAAATAATTTAATAAATGATCTTTAAAATTTTCATGGCACACCTAAGTTCCTCTCACAGCACACCTTTGCACACTGGCACACTGGTTGAAAATCACTGCTGTATGATATGGCATCCCTACATCCCTCTTTCTACTTCTCTTACCTCATCTCCTACTTAACTTTCCCCTTGGTTCCTGTTGATCTCCTTACTGTTTTTTTTGTTTTTTTTTTTTTTTTT